AAACCTTTCATAGTCCCTCCCTCTGCCGAGCTGGGAGCCCTGCTGGGGGGGCACAGACAGGGTAAGGGGGCCAAGGCTGCGGCTAAAGCTGGGGGCGGGAACTGAGCTGCGGCCAAGGACTGAGGCCGAGAGCGGAAGCCCTGGTCCGGGGCCGGGAGGGCGGCAGAGCTGGAAGCAGAGCGGGCTGGGTAGTGCCCTCCCCCCGGGGGGTATGCCCTACAGTTTGGGACCGCTGATTTAGATTATAATTGGAATGGCTTGAGGCTACGTTGATAGTAGTTACCCAACAGCTGCCCAGTCACCTACATCAAAAACTATAGCTCAGTCCAAGTTGCCTGTAGAAAGGTAACCAAATCCAGGTTAACATTTATAAGTTCTGGTTCAAGATGTAGAATAGAACAGTGGCTTCCAACATTTGTTAATTTACAGATCCCTAAATAATTTCAAATGGAGGCGTGGACCCTTTTCAAATCTACTGTCTGTATACATAATTAAATTCTGTTCAGTCACTTTTCAGTTTAAGCCTTTCCCAAACCCCTTAGACATAGTCCAGGGACCACAGGTTGAGAACCACTGGAATAGAGGGTCTGGTCTATTGTTTTTCCCAGCTCCTCCCACTTCTGATATTTTTCCTGCAGTCTCCCACCCCTAACTGGTTTCAGTTATGTTCATTATCTTACCTTACCACATGGCTTAGAAGAAATAACTAGGAGTTAAGGTTTATAGGTTGCAATTTAGGTTCAGACCTGGGTATTGCAGAGACTGCTCTGTAGATTGTCCTTTCTGGGCAACTGATGAATATAGAGAGTCTATATTCAAATTACATCTGACAGCTGCCTTCAAAGCTGTTGCCTGTAAATTGGTGTTGGTTTGCCTATGATCATAGGCTCTTGCTGAACATTTCTAGGTGTATTGGAGCAATTGCTCATCAGCACCAAGAGCTGTCATTCATTATACTTTTCAGACATCCATCTTGTTTATCCAGATGCTCAATGAGTGCATAAGACAATGGGAAGGGTTAATAAGAAGGTATGGTCTGAGGTGTAAATTTACTTTAAAAATACAGTATTTGAAATTCATTAATTTTACATTCACATTTCATGTTACCTGTTTTCTGCATACATTAAATATCAAAATTCATAAAGTGAATAGTCCAACTGCACTGAAAAGGAATCAGCTCTAAAACGAGGGAGCATGGCTGACACAATCAAGTATTTCATTCTGACCTAAGATTTTGTACTGCCCCTCCATTTCCCTTCCTATCCAGGCTGTAAGCACCTCCCAGGAAAATTAGATTGGCATTGCATGATCCCTAGGAGATTTCATGAAGTCTTTTGCTCTTTTCCTTTCTCAGGATTTAGGAAACTGTTTGCAACAGGTTTTACTTTGCAAGATGGGAGTGGCAACTGTTGTAAATGGTGTTATGGCTGTGGTGGAAAAGCTTTTATCAGAGAGAAAGTTTCTGCAATGTGATCTAAAAGGTATCAGACTCTGGATTAGCTTCAATGCTCCTGAATGCTGAAGCGATATGATGAAATAACTGGCTCTGTGGATATGGGGAAAGCGGTGGACATGATGCATCTTAACTTTAGCAAAGCTTTTGGTACAGTTTCCCACACTATTCATGCCAGCAAGTTAAAAAAAAGTATGGATTGGATGAATGGACTATAAGGTGAATAGAAAGCTGGCTAGATCATTGGGCACAACAGGTAGTGATCAACGGCTCGATGTCTAGTTGGCAGTGGATATCAAGCGGCATGCCCCAGGGTCGGACCTGGGGGCAGTTTTGTTCAACATCTTCATTAATAATCTGGATGATGGGATGGATTGCACCCTCAGCAAGTTCGTGGATGACACTAAAATGGGGGGAGCGGTAGATACGCTGGAGGATACGGATAGGGTCCAGAGTGACCTAGACAAATTGGAGGATTGGGCCAAAAGAAATCTGATGAGGTTCAGCAAGGACAAGTGCAGAGTCCTGCAGTTAGGATGGAAGAATCCCATGCACTGCTATAGGCTGGTGACCAACTGGCTAAGCAGCAGTTCTGCAGAAAAGGAGCTGGGGATTACAGTGGATGAGAAGCTGGATATGAGTCAGCAGTGTGCCCTTGTTGCCAAGAAGGCTAATGGCATATTGGGCTGCATTAGTAGGAGTGTTGCCGGCAGATCAAGGGAAGTGATTATTTCCATCTATTTGGCACTGGTGAGGCAACTGGAGTATTGCATCCAGTTTTGGGTCCCCCGTTATAGAAAGGATGTGGACAAATTGGAGTCCAACAGAGGGCAACAAAAATTATTAGTGGGCTGTGGCATATAACTTACGAGGAGAGGCTGAGGGAACTGGGCTTATTTAGTCTGCAGAAGAGAAGAGTGGGGGAGATTTGATAGCAGCCTTCAAGTATGTGAAGGGGGGTTCTAAAGAGGCTGGAGCTCGGCTGTTCTTAGTGGTGGCAGATGACAGAACAAGAAACAATGATCTCAAGTTGTAGCAGGGGAGGTCTAGGTTGGATATTAGGAAAAACTATTTCACTAGGAGGGTGGTGAAGCACTGGAATGGGTTACCTAGGGAGGTGGTGGAATCTCCATCTTTAGGGCTTTGTCAAGCTGGACCTTAGAAACCTCTGGCTGGGATGATTTAGTTGGGGTTGGTTCTGCTTTGAGCAGGGGGTTGGACTAGATGACCTCCTGAGGTCTCTTCCACCCCTAATCTTCTGATTCTAATGCTCTTTCCACAGGCAGATTCCCATGACCAAACATTACTTATAATCAACTCTTCTGTGTCTTGTTCTGGGCTTTGCGGGACTTTGTCCCAGAAGAACAGAACTAATTTGACTATCATAAATGGTGATGTGGTCTCTAGCTGTAGATGGTGCTTGACACTTAATCATACGTAAAAGGTACATATTTAAGAAACATGGGGTAGATAGGAAAGATGTATACAAGAAAGACCTTTATATTTCTAACAACACTATGTATTAAGAATTCAGACCTCACTGATTTTTTGAAACTAAGTCGACTAATCAACCTAATTATTACAGCACTTTAATCTGATTTAAAACTGGTAACTTTCAGTATTTACACAATATTAGAACACTTAATACAATGTGGCTGGTATAATTCATGTTCTGCACATACCTAAATACTCCCTATTGAATATGATATTCTTCATGTTGTGCCAATATATTGTACATTGTTGCTGTGTGAAGTTAAACCACCCACGAATATCACATCACCTTGAGAAGTGGCTGCATTTCCATGGTGGGTGAAGAAATTCTTCTATATCAACTGTGTATAACACTGAGTTCCTTTAAGGCACTAATACCAAGATCCAGAGTGATAGTTCTTCTCTGAAGATGTACATACCAATCCCACTTCAAGAACAGGGTGGGTTCTCAAACATATCTTCAAGGAGCAATACTGCATGATGTGAAAGTGTTTTCTATCTCTAATTTCTAAGTTAACCTAAGCTATTAAGTTACTTTATAAAAGCCTATTGGAACATTCAGATTTGGATTTTTAAGAATAAAAACTGTATTAGTCTTACCTGTTTCATGATCACAGACTATTTATTTTTAAAATATTAAATAATTAGAGTTCTCAAAATATAAGAAATTAAAGACTGGATTCTGTAAAGCATTGGGCCTTAAATCTTTTAGATTTAAGCTCTTACAGCAGAAATTGATGCCTGGGTTCTATGGAAAAATAATGGTGTACTAGAATTCCTTATGTTCTCTCAATTTTGGCTATACATCATATTTTTTTCTTATCTGCAAGCATAGCCCCCAGTTTGTACAGAGCACCACGGAGATCAACAGGACTCTGCAATGGCAAAAAGATGTTGATGCAAGATACAGCCTTGCACGTCCCCAGTTACAGACACTTTTGCTTAAATTGCGTTTTAGTATCAGATGCTTTTGAAATAAAAATCCAAATGAATAATGTATGCTACAAGCATAAATTTGCTCTTACATCACCCATTCTTCTTACTTGTTTGAAAGAATATTGTCAAGAGATTTTTTTCAAATTGTCCTTTATTTACTAGTAACTCCTGGAAGATTAAAACTGAATAGTGTTTTCCTTGTAGTGTCACCCACGTTAGCATGCATACAGTAAAAAGGTTGCTAACAGGTGCAGGGGGGGAGAGGGAAATTTTCTTTTCTTTGATGAAAGAGCAATGATGCAGCAGAAGCATACAAAGAATTATACTGACACGCTGAACAGATAAGAAAATAAAGGCGTCACACTGAGTCTGATTCTTGAGTGTACTTTCAAACAAAATGTGCACTGTAAATACACTTTACTGTAAAACAATGAAATGCAAACCAACAAAAAAGGAATCTTGAAATTAATTTTATAGGCAACGAGCTTTAAAGGCTTTCATAAAAACAGACCCAACTGAGCTTCATTTAAAGAGGGAACATAAGCATCGGTTAGCAGCCCTACCAGGGAAACTTGTTTTTTCTCCCCTCATCCATGACTATACATAAAAAAAAAAATATATAGGAACGCTCTATTTACAGATATCTGAGTCCATCATGCCATATTAACAGTTCTCAACTCTATTTTTAGTATTGCTTGGCATCAGATTATGTTTTAACAAACACAGTATGAATGTCTTACATAATTAACTTTCATATCTTAGTAGGAAAAGATCACTGTTCCTGTATTTCAGAAACCTTTGTGGGACCAAGAGATGAAGTTATTTTGTTCTTTTGGATGGAGTGGGATGCAAATTCCATATGAGAGCTTAATACAATCTGCTTTATAGTGACCAAAAAGAAGTCTCGACCACCTATCTTAATTATAAATGGTATTAACACCTTTGAAGGTCAAGGAATCATAGCCATTTTCTTGCACTTCAAACTGTATGACCTGGCTTTCTGCCAGAAAGAGAACGCTTATTGGTCTGTCAATACATACATACACAATCTATTCTGGTGTATGAGGAGGGAGATGGGAACAAGAAATGATAACTATTTGAGATTTGTTTTTCGTTACAGGAACTTCTGGGTCCCACATGGAAAAACTTCACTGCAATTCTATTTACGCATGCAGACAAGGTAGAAGAGGCAGGATTAAATGGAGACAAATACTTGCATATTGCCTCTGATACCCTGTTAAACCTTTTGAGCTCAATACAACAGAGATATATTTTTGTAGACAACCAGGCAAACACTCTCCAACAGGAAAGAAAAACAATCTTAAGAAAAATCATGGAATTTATAAGACAAAATAGTTACCAGGTGCTTCTAGTTAAATAAATGGATGGGGACAAACACAAATTACCTCTCAGGTACTCATTTACTGACAGCCATCTTCTTTTCTACTTTGGGATAAAATGACATGCGGAGATGAGGACTCTAGAAGTCAGCACTAAATACTTGGGGTATTCATGCCCAAATCAACATTTGCATTTAACTTATCATAAAATAGATGAAAACTGTTTAGACTACAAAATTAGCTACCATAAACATGTATAGTATGCCTATCACCCTACTATCTAACAGCCATTATCACACCAGATCAGATTCAGGTTGAATACTGGACAGTGTCCTTATTACTGTGTTTACTGATATTACACCACAGACCATCATGTTTTATATTGTAGCTCACAAAGAGCAGGTTACTGAGTAGAAAATAAGAATATGTATGTTCTAAACCATTGTAGTGTTGCTGTGCATTATTGAATAGTTACCACATCCTGCCTGAATTGGCTGCCCTTCAGATTCTTATTTTTTGCACTTGATTCTAGTCTTTACTAAGATAGAAGCACATAGTTTGCAAAGACCTTTCAGATCTTACAGTTTGAAAGTCTCGTACTGTAATCTATTTTTCCCACCTTGCTTCATAATGAAACCTAATTTGAACAGTTTTAACTTCTTAAAGAATATCAGACCTCGTTGGCTGAGTAGATTATAAGGCAGTTCGAATAATCTTCAAAACATGGGAGCTATTTAGAGTATTTGGAAGAACTAATTATTGTTGCTAGTTCCGAGATGTATGCAAAATTAGTACTGTGGGGGTATATACACAAAGCACATCTAAAAACATTTGTATTCATCTTTCCTTTGTGACTGTCTCTTTTAATTTTATATCATTGTCATTTTGTTGTTTTCCCAGCTTAATGGATGATGTTCAAAATCTGGAAAATTCAAAGACTGAGAAATTTATTTTATTATTTCAGTGGTTAGACAATAGATGGACAGTAAATGAAACACAAACACTTGAAAGTATATTTAAACAGTTATTGGGGATTTGAAAAGGTTAGTTGTGAATTGATATAGTGCTGCCATTGTCAGCTCATGACTTTATATTAATTGTGGCTACTTCCTTTTAACATGTGATGCAGTAAAATAGCTTATTTTAAAGTGTAAAAATTAAATTAGCTGTTCCTGTTTCAGTAAAGTATGTGATTCTGTATACAATGTATGTCTGAAGAAATTTCATGTAGGAGTTAAAATACAAAAATGGATTCACTTGATTTTTGTTTCATGCATCAGTGCAGTACTAAAATTGAATTAAATTAATTTTGTTGGTCAGAATCTATTCTTCACTGATGATTTACGGGTATGATCCACCACATTCACTTCAGTTAAATTAGAAGTCTCTGCTTAGGAGCAGCCCAAAACTACACGGGCAGAGGACTCTGACATATCATGAGTTCCACCTATCCACTGTCAGATCACTAACTCTACACTACCTGAATACCTGGCATTAGAGACCTTTATCCATGAGGCCCCTGCTTCCTGAGTAACTCTGTGGGTTGCAGTAGTTCTCAACCTATTTATCATTGTGGGCTGCAACCAATTCTACTTGTATGGCCCTGAGGATGTCACATGAGCCGCAGCTCAGTGCTGATTGGGCTGCAGGTTGAGAACCACTGGTTTAGAGTGTAGAGTACTTCTCCATCCCTTTCTAAACTAAGCCCAAATATCCTCAGGATCTGCACCCCTTATTCCATTGAAAAAGGCTCAAACATTTAATCTACCTAGTTAATAACTGTGCACATTATTTAATTAGTCTAATCTGCAAAGTGAACAAGATGAATGAGTGTATTTTGAAAATGTCAGTCACACATTCATACCTTTGGAGAAGAAGAGATAAAAGAAAAATGAATCAGTCATGCCGGGGGGGGGGGGGGGGGGGGGGGGGGGTTTATATTCATGTCTTTATTGTGCTTGCACTGCTTTCCATTTAAGCCTCTGACCAGTTTCTCAGTAATTGGCTTTATTTATTTGATTCCACTGCTGGCCATGGTCTGAGCCCTGCAGACCCCCTTCCCCTTCACTTCAAATGGAACTCCTTTGTATGTAGCAATGCACTGGTCATTAGTATGAAGGTCAGGTTGAATCTGCTCCCAGATCTTCTTCTTGGGATTAAGTTCCTTCTCAGGTTCTCCTGTTTAAATAAATAAATAAAAAAACAAGTAGCAGACATGAAACAAAAGGAAGAGTATGGGCTGTATGTACATGTGAGAGAGTGTAGTAACATTTTCCTTTGAGAATTTGTTCCAAGTGATATTGGCTGCCAAAAAATTGTCACTTCATCAAGCCTCAGAGTGAAAACTGTCAAGATCATAAATCTTAATTGTATTTTTTGGGTTGGGTCCTTTCGGATCCTTACTTGATAGTACTGTAGGTCCCTAGAGAAGAAAATTTTACATAGCTAGCTACAATACATAATCACAAGGAGGTAACATTGTGTCAGCATTGGGATTACAAAGGAAAAATGGGAAAAAAGTTTTTATTTAATGATTTTGAGATATGTCAGAAACACAAAGTAAATATTGAATGTAGGAACACATTGTCCAGGCAGGCTTAGGCTCATCTACAGCACTGGGCAGCGAAGTTTTATATATTTGTTTTAGACAGTGTAGGCATATGAAATCTGTGCTGAGTAAATGTGAAAGGCACCCAGACAATCGACAACTGTGGAGGGTGAGAGAAAGATGGTCCTGTAATTAGAGTGCTACCCTGGGACTTGAGAGACCCATGTTCAATTCACTTCTCTGCTACAGACTTCCTGTGTGTCCTTGGACAAGTCACATCTTTATGCCTCCTCTCCCCATCTGTAAAATGGGAAACAGTACTCTCACATAGGTGTTGTGAGGATAAATAATTAAAGATTGTGAGATAAAGGGGGCCATGGAAGTACCTAACTAGCTTTTTTCACCTACTTTTGTGGAAATGCTGCAAACAGCTAAAGGATGAATAGTGGAACAAAAAAAATAAATGTTATACCTGTTCCAAAATATTCGTCCTGTTTGCATTTCTTGCCTGACCATTTAAAAAATGACAAGGAAACCAAAAAATTAACCTGAATAAATTCCTCTGTTGCTAGTTTAAAAACGATTTATACTGAATGAACTGCTGCGTGCCAACATCATCTTTCATGATATAAATAAAGCACGACAATCAATTCGTTGTATCATTTATTTTCCTTTGCAAAGACCAAATGGATTTCAGATCTCCTAAAGTAAAACAAGACTCCGTCATTTAGCCACAATGCCTTGGGGTCTTTTTAACCCTTTTTATGAGATTCATGTTAGTAGACTGAAGAGCACAAGGGAAATTATAAACATTTCCACTGGGTTAGGGCCCAGTTTAATAATAAATAGCCTCCAGGGGAATTAATGCCATTTCACTGTCAATATTTCAACTTGCTAAGAGTCTCAATTCAGCCCAATTATTGCACATACAATTAAAATGTTATGTTTCAAAATTCACAGCACATATATACTTTATGGGGAAAAAATTATATCCCCAAAAGGTAGCACAATAGCTAGTGTGCTAGGAACCCACATGACTCATCAACAAGCTGTGCTCTCCTTAAGGGGAAACTCCTATGTTCTCTGTGGTAGCATACTTCAGTGATAAGCATTTTCATGTTCTCATTCCGTCCCCTCTACTCAGTCCTTGCCAGCTCAGGAAGAAGACTTTAGTGTGGGAGGTGGGGAATCAGGCTCTTGAGAAAGACTTCAACAAATTCAGTCAGGAAGATGTCCTAATGCAATGAGGTTCTCTTCCTTGACTGGTTAACCAACAGGTCTAGTCTTAACATTAGCCAATAACAGCTACATACTACTTAGTTGTGATGGTGAGATAAAGGCAAACAATTATCTTGCACGTGAAATAAGGTTCTTACTGGCTTATATGAGGAACAGTCATTAAGCAAGAGAAGAATAATAGAGGGCCCCAAAATGCATAAGGAAGGGAAAAAACAAGCCATTGTCCTCAAATGGATGAGTGGACAGCTGCCATTCCAACTCTGCCAGATAATTTTTGTCATTTAGACACTTCAGAAAACTGGGTGCTCAGCTCGTGTACCCTTGCTGATAGTTATAAAGAAAAGTTACTTCAGCCTGGGTCTGACTCTGTAATTTCCATAGCTTTTTTTTTTTTTAAAAATGGGCTTCCACTGCAGGCCAACTTCTCTGTTGAATAGGTTGGCCTGTGACAGTGCCAAGATTCAATGCACCAGTCAGAAATTATTTCTCACAAATGGAGCTTAATTACATCAATGTCTTAACACTTGCAGAACTAACTGTATGCTTTAAAAAAAAAAAAAAATCTAGAACACTGTCCTGTACTAAATTCACAAAAAGTCATTCCTTTATACCAAAATGGATATATACCAACTAACAGTTATTAAGCAGAATAGCTACTAAACAATTGTACTGTTCAGAAGGTGAAATCTACCTTGTTCTCCCACTCCCCAAATATTACAAAAAGCAAATGAATTTTTCAAGGATAAACTAAAATCTGACTTTTATTACACAAACACTTTCTGGATCTTATTAAGGGTATCTTTGGAATCCCAAGTTGAGCTCTCGTGGGATCTGTGGTGAGCTTGTATTAGATTAGCACAGGCACCACTTTTAAACATTACCAGAGCCTCTCCCGTACTCTGCCGCTTTGCATCCCTTTCTCTCATAAGACAAATAATCCTCTGAAAGGATATCTAAAAATAAAATGGAGTAAAATTATGGTCACAATGATTTTCCCACCCTCTTCTCATGGATGTGAAACATGCTGAATCTGCCAAAGAACCAAATGAAATGTATCAAACTGTACAAGTACTATCAAAGTACTAAAAACCTAAGATAAAAATAATAATGCCACCTAGTGCTCTTTAGAAAGCAGTCTGTATCATTACCCCCAATTTATGCAGAGATAGGGAAACTGAGGTACATAAAATGAATTTAACTTGCCCAAGATCACCCAGCAGTGAGTGGCAGAGCCAGGAACAGAATCAAGGGCTTCTGATTGCCAGTTGAGTGTTCTGTTCACTAGGCAACACTACCACAAAAGAGAAGCCAGTTGGCTATGCACTGTAATTGTGGTAGATAGATCTTTCCATCCCACCACAGCTTAGTGATTTGCATTAGAATCTATTTTAGGATTTTATAATGCTGCCATCATCACAGCACCTAGGTACAAAGAAGGTAAGGAAAATGTGATTCAGTACCTCGAAGCAATTTAACAGAAATATACATTAATTTACCACTGGGGAAAAAAAATGTAGGACTGAAGATAGAGCTTACAACAATGGTGTTAGTTTCTTATCACTGGGAGAGGTAACTGAGCAAAAAGTGGAAAGCATCCATATACCAAAGTTTTGATTAAAGGAAGTTGTTTATACAGACTATCCACTGCACAGCAGGTTTATAATAATCTGAATTTCTCTTGTAACTGGTTAACCATCAATTGAAACATGAACCGTTTTTAGACCAAAATTAGTATTTTAACCATAAATCTCAAGTGACAAATTTGTGGTTGCTGCAGCATTTCTCCATCCTTTTTTTTAAAGCTTCTATTGTACTGTTACAGAGAAGGGAGGATTTTACTGCAAATTGTGTAACTATTAAAAATGACTGTGTCTGTGAAGTGGGGTGGAGGAGAAGGGAGTGTCTGTATGTGTGTGGAATCATTTGCTATGACCTTCATCAAGCAGGTGATTTCACTAAAGTAGAATGTAAACTTTATGAAGTTCTTAATATGAAAAAGACCCCTTTCAAAGTTGCAATTTCTTGTGGTTTTGGGTATGAAAGGTGTAAGACTACTTT